GAGAGAGCTTCCTGATCCAAATCCAAAGATGACAAAACTGATAGGGTTGCAAACATTTTGGAGGACAGGATTAGAATGCAAAAGGATTTTGATCACAAAAAACTGGTCTATGAATGACCAAGCAAAAACCAAAAAGGCCAAGGTAAACTGCTGTATCTAAAAAAAAAAAAAAAAAAAAAAATCAGAAAGGAGAAAGTTTCCAAAATACCATACTGTTTGTGAACTGTCCTAGAAATTAAAGTTCTTTCACCATCCAAGCAAAATAAGCGAAAATCTGATACAGGATTCAGTTTATATATATACAACTTTCTCCCTTCCAATTCCTCCAGCAAAAGACCAGCTTATTCTGGTCAAGAAGCTCCACTCAGACCTAGAGACCCTTGGATATAGTGACAAATACTATTTATTCAAATCAGACAAGTAAAATTGTAGCCCTGATGGGTTAATTGTATCTACTTGGATGGGAGCGTCCTTATTTCAACTGTTTTCTTAAATTTTTCTTCAAATGTTATTGGAAATTAGTCACGATGACAACTGTCAGTTTTCACTTTCAAGTCATTCTAATGGTGTTGAAATGTGTCAGCTAAGTTTAAGATTAAACTAAAAAAATACTGCTGGCATAACTGGGTTTGGCAACAAAAGCGTCTTCTTTAAGAACTGGTAAAATAATCATTTCCTCACCAGCCTGGACAAAGATGAAGATTTTCAAGCACAGATTTTAATCATGCCAAGAACTTTAACAGTGCCCTGTAGGTGTTTCTCCCTGCCTTCCTGACATTACGAAGCGACATTTGTGCTCCAAAACTCATACAGATACACTTAACAAAACTCCAGTGTCAATCTTTTCCCTTGTCATTCATGTTTTATGTACTTTCCAATAGCAGCCTTAGAACATTCTGAATTCTGCATAAAAAGTCCACCTCCAAAATAAAATAAACAAGCCAGTGCTATTTTTTTTTTGCATTTTATGTAAACAAATTACATTACAGCAGTATAATTAAAAATGCTCTACTGAATATAAAGATATTCTGCTGCTTTACCTTTAAGGGATTTAGGCTCTAATGTCCTGTTGAAAATCATTAGGACTCGCATTGCTCAATTAAGGCATTTTTGAAAAATCTGCTGTCAAACTGAAATAATAGAAAGCTATACTACCTATAAGACCATGCAGTCATATCCTGCTTTGTGCAAATACAGTGTTGATTCCACGTATGGAAATGTGATGATACAGTGATTATCAATATAATTCCTACCAGCTTTCTTACCTTCTCAAAGTCTTTTTCCGGCCTTTCTTCAATCTGCAAACAAAGAGAGATTATTTAGACACAACAACCGGGTAAAAGAGGACACAGAGAACACCAAGATTGACGGCAGTTTGCTTTTAAACTCAGCTGTGTCAGGGATCTTAGAAACATTCTTCACTGGCAATTCATTCCGCACAAAAAGCAACTACAGCACATAGTACTGCACCAGCACTGGGAACACTCATCCCTGAAAAGCTCTCTTGGGCATACACAATATTAAGGTAGGTTTTCTTATTAATTATTAGAACTGTTCAAGTTATATAAACTAGAGGAATACCTTTATTTTACTCAAAGTCATGCTTCATATAGTCCAAAACCATACCAAATGCATGAACCATACAAAATGCATGAATCACATATGAAATAAGACTGAATCTACTTAATTTAGGAACTTAGTATAAGCATACTATAACCACGCTGCAGAACAAATGTTTTTGTTGCATTTGATTATACATTTAACCACAATATTATATCGACTTACTCGTACTCAGTTTTATCCCTGCAGGAATTTCTATATAAAAAGTAAATATGCAAAATAGCACTCAGGAAATAGAAAAACTTGAAGTCCACAGTGTAAATGAAAAATATTTTTTTCCTGGAGTAACAAAGTTGAAAAAATTGCACTGAACATTTGCTGCATTGTCACCTGCTGGTGCAACAAAAACGGTCAGCAGCACAGTCCTTGAGAACAACCCTAGCTCAAACCAAAAGGAAGCAATTTTTACTTTCCTAAAGGTTGTTAAAAATAGGACTGATGACAATCAGAGACCCAGACTATAACATCTGCATGAAGTCTGAGCGCTTTGCCTCCAACAGCCCCCTAAAGTCACTGCCCCTTTTTTCAAACAAGCAAAGCACAGGGTTCCAAAGAAGGGACCCCCCGCTTAGCATCCCACATCCCTGCTACCCCAAGTTAGAAAGTTTAAAACCTTACTAAGACATATTTCAGTCATAAGAAGGGAAAGTCTTCATCAATACAAATGAAGATATGGCACCCCAAAACAGGCGAGAACAACAAAGACAAGGAGATACTTCAGAGATGCAAACTAATGATAAGCTGCAGAAATCTTTAGAGAAAGTTCTGACATTGACACAGCAAAGTTAAATATGAAGTCTCAAGAGACCTGAAAGAATAGCCTGGAGATTAACCAAAGAGACTTCTTGGTATTCATCAAGAATACAAAGTTAACATAGTTACAGTTAAAAGAAAGTAGTTTAAGACGGGATGGGCATAATTCTGCAGCAGCTGTGCTCTTAAAAATGGAGAAAATGAGATGAGCAGAATTTCAGAATAAGGATTAGAAAAAATAGATAGGGATAAGGTGAGAC